ACAATACCTTATGCAATCATCTATAAAAGTAATAAAATACTTTTTACCTCCTTTAGTTTGCACAAACTTTAAATCACAAATATCACTGTGAATTAGTTTTAGAGGATTCAAGTTCCTTTCAACTGAATGAAATAGTGTTTTCGCTAATTTAGCCTCTATACATGTTTCGCATCGATAATTTTGATCAAAGGACATAGAAGGCAATAAATCTAAACTTACTAATTTTCATAATGTATTAACATTTACATGTCCTAACCTATCATGCCATAAGTTAGAAGACTCAATCAAGTAAGTAGAAGATTTATTTTTATTAATATCAAAATCACGGAGTACAGGCATTATATTCAATTTGAATAGCCCATGGGCTAAGTACCCTTTGCCTACAAACATATCATTTTTGGTGAGTACAAACTTGTCAGATTCAAATACCAGCCTAAACCCATTCTTGCTTAAAAGAGTTCCGGATACTAAGTTTTTGCGAATATCGAGAACATGCAGCACATCGATGAATGTTACTTCTTTCCCTGATATCATCTTCAGCACCACTTTACCTAGACCAATAACTTTTGATGTTGCTGAGTTGCAAATGAAGAGTTGTCGTCCATTGATAGGAGTGTAAGAGGAAAATATCTCCTTATCCGCACAAACGTGATGAGTAGCGCCAGTATCAACGAACCATTCTCTCGAATTATCCACCATATTTGCTTCAAATACAACAGCCGAGAGCATTAGTTCAGACACTCCGTTAGACAGTCTGTCTTCTTCAGTCAAGTGCACTTGGTCCTTTTTGTTTTGCTTTTTCTGCAGGCAGTCCTTTGCAATTTGACCAGGTTTACCGCAATTATAGCAATCTCCTTTGAATTTCTTGGCCTTACTCTTTTGCTTGCTATTATTCGGGTGCTTCCTTTTCTTGCTAGTATTTGGCTCCATCAAGTTGACTTTAGCCTCCATTTGCTGCTTTCCAGACTTCTTTTCAACATTTCGATTGTCTTCCTCAATTCTTAATCTAACAATCAAATCTTCAAGTCTCATTTCCTTGCGTTTATGTTTCAGGTAGTTCTTGAAACCTTTCCACATTGGTGGTAATTTTTCGATAATTGCAGCTACCTGAAATAGTTCACAAAGCTTTATGCCTTCTGCATGTATATCGTGCAAGATAAGTTGTATCTCTTGGACTTGAGTCATTACTGTTTTAGAATCTGCCATTTTGAAGTCCGGGAATTTGCCTACAACGAATTTCTTCAATCCGACATCTTTTGTTTTATACTTCTTTTCCAATGACTCCCATAGTAATTTAGTCGTTTTGACGGAGCAGTATACGCTGTATAGTGTGTTGTCAAGGCAATTGAGGATGTAATTTCTGCACAAGAAGTCACTATGACTCCAAGCATCGAATGCTGCTCGTTTTTGAGAATTTGTTTCCTTCTTCTCAACAGTTGGAGCATCTTCTCTCAAGATTTTGACCAGATTCAGAGTCGTGAGATAGAACAACATTTTCTGTTGCCATCTCTTAAAATCTACTCCCGTGAATTTTTTCGATTTCTCCCCATGAGCATTGTTAGGGGTTACGACAGACGTACTAGGGGGTACAATAGACGTACTACTACTTGCCATTATCGTTTTAAGATTGTTGAAAAAGATTGGCAAATAATAGTGTCACCATAATTTATATTTGGGCAGAGTAACGACGTTTGGATAGTTTTAAATGGTCGAAGCAAGAGTTCGACTCTTTCTCCTTAAAACGATAATCCCCCGCATTGGTACTGACGGTATAGCAGCACTCGTTTCCCAAGATACAACGATCTCGTCTTGTAATAGTAGTACTCCAAATTACAAGACCTGACGAACCCATAAAGTTTAGATCTCTCCACACACACTGGATGATTGAAATGCATGAAAAGTAATTTTCGAGGATTGAATTATAAAAGCAGAAATTATGCAAGGACAGGGGGATAATTTCGGGAGAGTAGAAAATCAATTCTGATTTTGGAATGAATACAAATCGGGGTATGAGGGCCTATTTATAGATGTTGAAAGGTTGTGTCCCAACAGACCAACTGCTAAAAAGTTGTGTCCAAAAGACACAAACAGTTTGGATAGTCAATCACCACAACCCACCAAATTCTAGAAGCACCGCACCACGTGTCACACATAAAAAATTCGGGGAAGAAAAAATTAATAACATAAAATATATTATTATTATTATTATTATTATTATTATAAAATAATATAATTAAATGTTATTTTACTAAAAAATATATATCAGCTTGGCCCAAGCCCAAGACCCACGACCCACGACCGGCCGGCTCAACGACGCGCGCGTGTGGGCTTTGGCTTAACCTACTAGCACGTAGGTTCTCTCCTCTTCAAAGACTATTGGTACCCTTGGAGCCCAAACCCAAGTCCCAAACTTGAGCTATATAAGGTGGTTTATATCCTTCTAGTTTTCCTATGTGGGATTGGTATTTTCCAATTTCCCATCTATTTTATTTCAAGATCAAGTTGACATCTTTTGGCCTTAATTTCTCATTCATCCTAAATTGGTTTTGAGAAAATAAATATATCATATTAATCTTCTCATGGAGTACAACACATTCGGCCAAAGAAATCTTATTTCCGATTTACGGGACCCACTAAATTAATTGGTCAAAAGTTGGTCAAACCAACTAATTAAACCCAATTTTCCAACATAACCCCGTAACAAGGGTAAACTTGAATATCGGGAATGGGGATACATTCCCATCCCCTAACCCAAAATACAAGACATCACCTTCGACTAGCTTAAGCAACCGAGTTAATAGTCATTGGTGATCTATCCAAAAAAATTGCATGCACCTTATTGAATATAGCTTCCACAGGCATGGATAGAGCTATAGAACATTATGATCATCATCAAGTTACTCCAGTACATTTTTAAAACTCAAATAATTATAATTGTGCATAACTTTTTTGGGATGTTCTCTTATTCTATTATTAAGAGCATACCACAATCTGCAACAACTTACAAAAGTTAATGACTTACTAATTTATATAAGAAATTATAGAACATCGCATAATATTTAGAAACCTAAATAAGCAGTTATATACTACCGATATGCATGAATGAAATTCATTTCATCATCCAATTATATACTACCTTTCACATTAAAAAGAAAAAAGAAAGAAACAAAAAAGAGGCAAACTTTCTACCTATGGTCGGTGAGGCTTTGTCTTCTCCAACCTGCGATCGAAGTCATACCCATGCCGTTGTGCAGGCGATTTCTCCCCACATTTCATCCCTTTTTTCACAACTTCAATTTTAAGCAATACTATAGCTCAATACATGAATGTGTGAAGCTACACATACATCAGGGTGTCTATAATGAAGTCTATTCCCTCATTTATTTGAAGTGGATCCCCCTCCATATGAGGGAGATGAACATCGTCATGAACATTGCATTATGTACAAGTAGCATATTCCTACATGAATTTATACCATAAATAACATGACCAATCAACATTTGACGTTAAAAAAAAATGATTCCAAGAAAGTAAACCATTAAAATAGAATCTAACCTTGAATATTAGTGAAGAAGAAAAAGATGAAGTTTCAACTTGAAAATCAATCTTGAAGGAGTCGGTTTATGGTTTGTGAAATTTTGGCTCTTCAATTTCTCTCTCTAACGGGTTCAAATTAGGCAAATGTGAGAATTTATTTATTTATTCTTTATTAGATTTTTCAAAAGAAAAAAAATTGATCAAGTATCATGACCATTTACCTATAATTTCTCATGTATTTGTACTAGACACTTTGAATAAGAGCGGGGAAGAGGGTGGCAAGGATGCTGATGATGTTTTGATTTTTTCTTTCTTTTGTTTTTAGTTGATCCATTTCTTTCTATTGTAGGTAGTCGAGTTCTTTTGTGACTCGTCATGGTGCCTATATAGGATGCAAAAATAATTTTTTAAGTTAACTTTTTATTCACAGTTAAAAAAAAAAAATGCACTTACCCTTATTATTCATATTAAGGTGCATTTGATTGCAAGTAGGAAAATTGTATGGAAAGAAAATATTTTCCAGATAATTCAATTGCCTGGAAATTATTTACATGGAAAATGTTAATTATACATGTTTGATTGACTTAAATTTCAACTTAGAAAATGTTACAATTTTCCAAGTTTAAGTGTTTGATAGCCATTATTTTCCATGGAAATAGTCATTTTTTCCAATTTTATCTGTTTGACAACCACTATTTCCCATGGAAATTGTCACTTTTTTCATGGAAAATAGTGGTTTTTTTCCATGAAAATTTGTCAATGAATGATCCAAATCTTAAACAAATTATAGACAAAAATTCGGCCAAATCCTAATCAATGCTTCTGATTAGGAGTCTGGAAGGGTAATTCCAGTACATCCGTAAACCAAAGTTTCAATGTCCATGTGTCATATCCGCAAAACATAAAATAGAGAAATAGAAAAGAGCCCACTCCATTATGTTAATAAATACAAGAAACATAATGGACAATTCGAACTTATCGGGATGATTTTCTCGTGGCGTTCAACAAACTTGGGTGAGCTTCGTAAGCCTTATGATTAGGAGGCCGTAGATTTAATATATCTTCGGTTTCCTAGTTCATTGTTTGCATGTTAAATCCAAAATCGGCGATTATTGGTGCTATTGGGAACTGTGACAATCTCGTTCACTTATGCTATGCAAATTCAATTAAAAATAAAATAAAATAATCCAACGATTCAATCAGAACCTTCAACCAACTTATACAAATTGTAATTAATATAATAGTTAATTTGTGGATAAAAACATGCCAAGATTTGGTACGAAAAATGCATAAACACTGTCGAGATGAAATAATTATCCCTACCAATTCAGATTTCTACCACTTAAATATTCTTCTTTCCAATCAAAAATAATAATTAGATAATCAATTCAATAAATAATGATGAAATTTCGTCCAATGTATTACATAAAACGAAAATAAAAAAACCTGAAAAATCTCTATCATAAGAAAATAGCAGATAAAATCAACATAGATGTCATACTTTCACATATGTTTGTTGAATTATCAAAGCAAGTCATTTTAAAATAGTGGAGGTGGATCACGGCCCAAATTCTCAAATGCTAAATCACGCATGAATTTTTCATCAGTCAAACCCATAAATACTCTAGCCAGACTCTCATCCAATCGAAATATTTTCATTACTTGCATTATGTCATGCTTTTCTATACTCATGCCTTGTAATTTTTCTAGAATCAACTGCCAATTGATGTGGTTTAGCGTATCTAATGTTGCTTGAGTCTCCATAGCATTAGCAATTTTTTTAGATGATTCGGCAATGATAGGGCAACGAGAGTCTCATCATTACGTTGGGTACGTCGACGGCGAACTTTGTTAGTTCCTCCTTCGACGTTATGCTTAGGAGCGTGAATGGGGCTTGGATCCGTATCCTCATTTTGACCATCAACTTTATGCACATTTCATCTAAAAATAATAAAATAAGAATTTGTTAAGATCTCTAATATAATACGAATTATATAATTTTTTATGTACGATCTAGTACGTACCATGATCGGGGGATAACAGGCAAAACGTGGATGGTAGAATAGGCAAGGACTATCTTTGCTTGTGTATCAATGTCGTGACAGGGTTGATGCCTCAAATATGCAAATCGTTTTTTTCAGCAAACCAATTGTACACTCAATAACATTACGTAGAGATGAATGTCAAAAATTGAACAACTCCTTACTAATTTCAGAACATTGACCTTCAATGTCTCTACAATGATAATGAGTCCTACGGTATGGTGCAAGAAAATCCGGAACCGATGGGAAGCCAGCATCAACAAGATAATATTTATCTAGGAAAGAGTCGTTCAAAAGATAGTAATTAGGTAATTATTATAACTTATGTGTGGAGGGAAATGTTTTCAAAATAGTGACACAACTTACCAACAGAAATGTTAGCTTATGTCCTTAGCGTAATATTGCACTCCGTAACAATCGACCATCATGTGTGGATCCCTCCCAACTGGCAAGCACGTACATAAATTTCATATCAAATGTGCAAGCTACTAAAACATTTTGGGAAATCACTTGTTTTCTATTGCGATATTTACCTTGCTCCTCTAAAGGCACATACGTAGCAATATGTGTACCATCGATTGCTCCTACGGCATCCTTTAAAAAAGAATACTTTTCAAAATAAATGTGTATATTGAAGTTTTAATAAATATGATGAAATAACTACAAAACCCTAACCTAAAAAAAGGAGTACCATGGCTGCACATTTTCTTTTTCGTATGGTGAGTTATGAGGAGTGGCATTAATCACAACATCTCTGTATAGTCCAAGACAAGCGTGTAAGACTCTGTGAAAGTGAAAGCTCACTGTTTGACCAGAGCGGAAGAAAGTAAAATGTCCAGCACGATTACATTGGTCATGCCCGATTGTATTCAAAAAAATTGCGACTTGTTCCTCAATTCGAACGTATTTACTGTCAACCAATCCATAAGTTCGCAAACGAGCACATAATCTTTGAAATAGACCTATTTTCATCCTAAGGAGATCACGACATATTGTATCACTCGTGCCAAACATTCTTATAAGTGTTATTTCTCTTTTAGAATTCCAATTTGTATGAGGAGCTCTTGGAAGATGTCGTGCACGACGCCTAAGTTCAGTATATATCACAATCGCTTGCATGACCATTGTCCAAAATAAACCTAAATGTTGTCGTCGGCATCGACGTTAATTCTTTGTTGTAGCCATGTCATAAACTACCACGGTAAAAAAAATTCAATAAAAATTTGTTTAGAAAGAATAACATAAAAGTATTACAGAATAAAAAGTTAACTGTAGCTACATCATAATAGAAATTCATTGCATGACCTTCCAAGCTGTAAGTGTTATGCCCTAGATCCAATCGATTTAGGTTGTAAACGCTTTTAATATATTTAATGCATTTGATTTTGGCGATATCTATTATTTATTTAAATTAATTTTGCAATAAATAATATTAAATAATAGAATCCGAAGATCCAATTTTTAGGTAATCTGTTAATCACAGGGAGTTGTGATTGTGAGATACAAATTACATATAATTGGATCTTGAATAAATCATGGTCGTAAGTAATAACGAGATACGGATATCGTTAATACAGTTAGACCATCACGTGAGGCATTTCTTACTTGTGAAGTAAGTAGCTGATCTCACGAACTAAAGTGTGGTGACACTTAAATAAACACGTGGATGTTTTGTTATAGAACAAAACATTGGAGACCCGCTAAGAGATTTCACATGGATAACTATCTGAGTGTCAGTGGCTAATCTCTAACGTTCGGTAGTGAAATTGGTCCTTTGACTTGAGGTCGTCATGATACCTTATATGAGGACAGTCATACTTTGACGGTGTTGGATGTTGCTCTGAAAGGGGCCGCTAATACGACATCGTTCGGGTACGTCAAGAATCGTATGAAGGTTGTGATTGATCAATAAAGGATTCGTCACTCTTAGATAGTAGGAGATTATGATCTGCGTTTCATTCAATTAAGTCGATGATGAAATCCTTGGCCAAGGTGTACTCATAAGTCGAAAAGGAGTTTTCGATTTATATTGACTTAATAGTGGAGTGAAAGATATGATCAATGATCGAGATTGACACAATTCCATATCTCGTAATTGATCGGATCGTATTGACGAAGGGATAATAGTTCCACGGTAAACGAACGAATTTGGTTTTGTCATACCACGTGACATTTCTCGTCACATGTATTACCCTGACACATTGCTAGATGTCAATCAGGGACGGCGAATGTGAATTGACGATAAATTAAAAGGGTGTATTAATTTATCAATTTTGATTAGATCAAAATAATATTTCACGACGTTAGGCATCGTGGTCGGGAACCTAATGGGTCGCACACAAAAGAGAATTGGAAGACTGCAAATTGTCAATTGATTAATTTAACAATCGTTGAATAAATTAATTAATTGAATTTGTTATTTATAATCCCGAATTAATTAATTGGATTAATTAATTCACGGACCGGGTTTAATTAATTGGATTAATTAAATATTGGACCGGACCGGGTCGGGTCCGTTTGGGTTTATATATATATGCAGCTAGGGTTTGAGGTCCATAAGGTATTCATTATTCTTGCTAGCACAAGAAACAAACCCTCGCAGTTGCTGTCTACTCTCTGTGTGGATTTCATTGGAGACTGGACAATTGGACAGCTGTGGGAGGCAGATTCAAGCTGCTGGAAAGGAATAACGCGAAAGAGTTTGCAAATCACAAGTAAATGTATATTTCTCATCACAGTTTTTATCTAAATACAAAGCTGAATCCTGAATGGGAATTGAAACTTGTTAAATTCCGCTGTGCATGTTTAAGTAAATTCCCAACAGTGGTATCAGAGCCGACTTTGTATTTGTTAAGAACTGTTTAACGTGTTGATTAAATTAAATGTTAGTTTAATCACGTTCATTCCTAAATCTAGCAAATATAGTTTTAAATTTTTTTTGTATTTTTGGATCTGTTCTTAAAAAAAAAAAATAAATAAATAAAAAATAAAAATAAAAATAAAAATAAAAATAAGAATAAAAATAAAAATAAAATAAAAAAATTTTTTGGTCGAGGGGTGGCGGTGCCGCCGCGTGGCACGGCAGGCGCTGCAAATCGGCAGCGCGAGGCGTTGCTCCTGCAGCGGGAGGCGCTGCTGGTTGTTTCTAACGGGCGGCGCCGCCCCAGAAGAAGGAAAAAAAAAAAATTTTAGGTTTAGAATTTTGGTGGAGGCGGGGGCCTCTGTTGCAATTAATATAATTTTGGGGCCCCTGGTTGCAATTTCACAAATGGGGGTCTATTTGCAAATTTTAAATCAGGGACCTATTCTGTAAATTCCGATTTTGGAAGGGTCTGCTGTTAATTTCCTTTTGGATAACTTTTGTAAAATTTCAAAAGGTTTTTAATTTTGAATTTTGAATTATTTTAAAATGATTTTTAAATTGGGTTTGACCCATACCCTAATTTTAACCCAGAATTAAAAATTTTATTTAAAAATTTGACGACTTTTATACTTTTGTTAAAATTAGATTTTAACTTAAATATTTAGTTTGACCCTTAATTGAATTTTTATTATGTTTCGGAATTTTGTCCTAAATTAAAATTTTAATTCAATTTTATTAGAGTTGGACTCTAATATTAAATTAATTAAATTTTATTTTGAATTAGCACCACTTCCCTATGCAAATTAGCACTTAGAGTATGACTCTAATTTAATAATTAATTAAAATTCGATTTTGATTAAATTACTTCGCCCAATAGTTATGAATTTAGAGTTGGACTCTAATTCGATATTTAATTAAAATTAGATTTTAATTAAATTGGCCCGTCAATTAAATTAATTAATTAATATGATTAATTAATTGTTTAATTATCTCGATCCCAAAATTTTGATTTAATTTTGACGACTATAATTGCTAGATTTATGAGACATTGCATATAATATTAGATATTATACGTATGAAACATTTATGTGATGAATGTTTGTAGATGATTATGGACTCGACCATATGGATGTGTTGAATGGTTGATTTACTTCTTGTTGTTGTTGTGGGCCTGCGAGCTTCTTATTAAATATTGGGTCTGCGAGTCCGTTGTTATTATTATTATTATTGTGGGCCTGCGAGTCCCTTTTCTTTTAGGCCTGCGTGCCAACTAGTATAGGATACATTTTGCAAGCTCGGCTAATTGGAGGCGCAAGAAGAGGTGGACACCACGAAGATGGTGTATTGGTATTGGACCAATAATGTACCCCTTAGGAATTGACCAACTAGTTTTCCTCTTGGCTCGGGAAAACTAGATAGAACAAGTCCATAATCATCCATATTATTACTTATATATATATATTAATTACTTGATGAGACCATTGCACATTAAATCCCTCGTTAAAAATTATTAAGTTAGTATTATTTGCCTTTCATCATTATAGTGAAAAACGAGAATCCTAAATCGACCTTAGCTTGTTGAGTACACTCAAGGCTGGTCTATTAGGGATATGTTTGACACTATGAAATATTTGATATTTCTGAATGATGGGTTTAACTTAACTAAAATTTATCTTTTGTTGAGTACACTCAAGGAGATAAGTTTTAGAGGCATGTTAAGCTAACACATAAGATGTGTGAAGACAAAAAAGTTGTCGGCTTAATGATCTGGGAGTTGTATGGAGATACAATTGATAATAACATCTACCCAAATGTTTTATTAGGATTTGTTGAGTACACTCAAGATCTCGATACAACGAATAGGATCCCAGCCCACTGTGAATCAAGTGTGGATTCAAATAATTTATGTATGAGGGTCATGAATTTATTTTAGACAGTGGGAGCACATTTAATTAAAGTCCATATTGAATTTATGCACATGCATTATAATACATATTAATTCTATTTTTTTTCCAGTCATTTACAGTTTTTGAATCATGAGTAATCATATGAATTTGAGAGGCATACTGGATGCCAACAAACTGACCGGACCAAATTTTCTCGATTGGCACCGCAATTTGAGAATCGTTCTCAAGCATGAGAAAATTGGATATGTCCTTGAGCAGTCATTTCCAGTGGTGCCTACTGAAAATTCCACTAAGGAAGAGGTGGCTGCTTACAATAAACACAGTGATGACGATAACACTGCAGCATGTGTGATGCTTGCAGCTATGTCTCCTGAGTTGCAGAAGCAACATGAGGGTATGGATGCTTACACTATGATTTTTCATCTCAAGGAGTTGTATGATGAACAATCTCGTGTGGAGAGGTATGAGACCTCTAAACAACTATACCGGTGTAAAATGGCAGAGGGATCATCAGTCAGTGCTCATGTGCTGAAGATGATTGGTTTTATTGAAAAACTCAGTTCACTGGGTTTTATCATGGATCATGAACTAAGTATTGACTTGGTTCTACAATCTCTGCCAGATAGTTATTCACAGTTCATTATGAATTAAGTATTGACTTGGTTCTACAATCTCTGCCAGATAGTTATTCACAGTTCATTATGAATTTTAACATGAATAAGATCGAATGCACACTCCCTGAGTTGCTTAATATGCTTAAAACTGTGGAGCCCAATGTCAAGGCTAGCACTGGGCATGTCTTAGCTATTCATTTCTCCAAGGGAACTAAGAGGAAAATTAAAGGAAGTTTTAAGAAAACATCCAAAAAGGCTAAGGGCAATAACAAAGCAGTCAAAGCAGGCAAGGACAATACCAAATCTGATGACCCATGTTATCACTGTGGAGTGAAAGGTCATTGGAAGAGGAACTGCAAGACTTACCTCGCAAGCTTGAAGGGAAAGAATTCTTCTGAAGCTTCTACTTCAGGTACTTTTGTTATCGAGGTTAATATGTCTACTTCATTAGCTTCTTGGGTATTAGATACCGGATGTGGATCTCATATTTGTATAAATATGCATAGACTAAAGAAAAGTAGAGCACTGCAGAAAAGAGAAGTTGACCTGCGCGTGGGAAATGGAGCAAGAGTTGCTGCATTAGCTGCAGGGACATACTTCTTAACACTACCTTCAGGCTTAGTATTAGAATTAGAGAATTGCTATTTTGTTCCCGCCATTACTAAAAACATTATTTCTATTTCGTGTTTAGACATGAATGGTTTTTCAATTAATGTTAAGAACAATCGTTGTTCGTTTTATAAAGATGAGATCTTTTATGGTTGTGGTGTGTTACAGAATGGAAT